ATGCATTGCTTCTTCCTGTCTCTCTGCTTACCTTTAGGCATTGCCATACGTCGGCCTGCTAATTGCCATGATCTTTTTCATCTATGGCGTGATTGGGATGCAGGTGAGTTCATCTTTATACATCTGTCTATGTTCATTCTCTCCTCACATAAGGAACATTCCTGATTGGGAAGTTTAAACTCTCTTTTCTGTTTTTTTTCCCCAGACATTTGGGAAGATAGCTATAGATGACAACACAGAGCTCAGTCGGAACAACAATTTCCAAACCTTTTTCATGGCTGTACTGCTGCTCTTCAGGTGAGCGTACACCAGCACCAGCCTTCTGGTTGATTTTTGAATTGAGGTTGGATAATGATCTGCTTTTGTCTGGTTAGTAAATGGTTTGAAGTAAAGGTATATTGCATGTTTTTTTGTTCTTCTTCAAACCCAGGTGTGCAACAGGTGAACAGTGGCAGCAGATTGCGGCACTGCCAGGACATCGATGTGACCCAGAGTCTGACTTTGAGCCGGGAGAGGAATATAGCTGCGGAAGCAACCTGGCATACCTCTATTTCATCAGTTCTTTGCACTCTGTGCCTTCCTGGTAAGAGATGAAAAACATTTTCTCACAAAAGTTTTGCAGTGCCCAGAGAAACATTGTGTTGCACTCACAAAACGTATGCAATTTCAAGTTTTGCATTTCCCTTTTGTGTTCCACTCACAGAAATGTTGGAGTTCTGTGCTTTTGCCAGAAAACTTTCAATAATCCATCTCTGAAAATAATGAACAATTTTGTTCGGTGATGAATTGATCCAATCTGTGTTTTCTCAGATCATTAACTTGTTCATCGCAGTCATCGTGGATAACTTTGAGTATCTGACCAGAGACTGGACTGTGCTGGGCACTCATCACCTCGATGAGTTTAAACGAGTCTGGTCAGATTACGACCCAGAGGCCACGTAAGTGAGAAGCAATATGCTCTGTGTCTGTTTTTATGAGAGCATAACCAAATACTAAATAATATAAATACTATTGAATGTTTTTGCATCAGGGGAAGGATTAAACATCTAGATGTAGTCACCATGTTGCACAGAATTCAGCCTCCGCTGGGCTTTGGGAAACTCTGTCCACATCGAGTAGCCTGTAGGGTAAGCGTGATTTGGATTTGTACAGTGACTGGCTGACAATGAAATAGGTGAAAAAACTGTACACTAGCATTTAAGAAGAGCTCAAGCTATACACTACTGTTCAAACATGTTTGAATAGCATTTATCTGAAATAAGCTTTTGTAACATTATAAATGTCTTTACTGTCACTTCCGATCAATTTAATGTTCTTGCTGGATGAAAGTATTAATAAAAGTATCAATATATCATAAAGACCTTCCAGAACACACTAACAGCTTCATTTCAACATGCTTCACACAGCAGTGTCCTTACAACCATTAATTACTACACCTTTGTTTCTCTCTTTCTCATTGGCAGAGACTGGTTGCTATGAATGTTCCTCTCCATCCTGATGGCACCGTGTCCTTTAATGCCACTCTGTTTGCTCTCGTCAGAACGTCACTCAAGATTAAAACAGACGGTTAAACTTCTATACACGCACACTGGCATATACACTGTTAAAGGGATAGTTCACCCAAAAATGAAAATTCTGTCATTAAGTATTCACCCTCATGTCGTTCCAAACCCGTAAGACCTTCGTTCATCTTCGAAACTCAAATTAAGATATTTTTGATGAAATCTGAGAGCTTCTACCATAATTTTACAAAGCTACAAGAATACTTTATTCAACAATTGTTCTCATCCGCTTCACCCTAGTGCCATTTTGGAGAGCATGCGTCGTGATACTCTCCAAAATGGTTGCTAGGGTGAAGCGGAGAAGAAGAATTGTTGAATAAATTTGTTATTTTTGTTTTCTTTGCACTCAAAAAGTATTCTCGTAGCTTTGTAAAATTATGGTTGAACCACTGATGTCACATGGACTATTTTAACAATGTCCTCCTTACTACGTTTATGGGCCTTGAAGGTAGTAGTTCCCTTGCTGTCAATGCAGGGTCAGAAAGCTCTCGGATTTCATCAAAAATATCTTAAGTTGTGTTCCGAAGATGAACAAAGGTCTTACAGGTTTCAAACAACATGAGGGTGAGTAATTAATGACAGAATTTTCATTTTTGGGTGAACTATCCCT